ACCTGGGTCTCTGGATTAATAGTCTAATGATGATACCTGTAGACTGCTGCCTCCCCTCGATTGTATTCCTCAATCAGGAGAAGCGTGGATTGTCTGTCACTTCAGTTCCAATCCTGAGAGAATGTAATGTTTCTTTTTCAATTACTCCCCTTTCAGAGGAGAACAGAATATTCTAGAAGCGGCGAGTAATGGTGCCTCAGCCTCCATTAGCCTGGTTGCGAACATTGCAGTGAACCTCCTGGCGTTTCTGGCAATTCTGGAATTTTTAAATGCGGCTCTGTCCTGGTTCGGAGGAATGGTGGACTACCCAGAGCTTAGCTTCCAGGTACGGTCTAACAATTTCACTGCCACCAGCTGAGCCAATAGGAACTTCTGCCTGATGAATAGGCCCAAACACTTCATCGCCTAAAGAAGACTATTCTCATAGAGACAGTGTACAGTCATTTACCACCTTACAGCTAGAGAGAGAGAGAGAGATCATGGCTACCCAGTAAGCTGAAATAAGTCAGAAATCACCCAAGGAATGCAATAAAATGGGGTCAATTATTGAAACAATGATGAACAGCAGCCAAATGGATAAGCTATAAGGAGAGGGTGGACAAAGTAGAGTTTGCTTCCTCTGGAGCAGTGGAGGCTGAGGGGAGAACTGATACATGTTTATAAAATTATGAGAGGCATAGATAGGATTGACAATCAGAATCATTTTTCCCAGAGTTGAAATGTTTAATACTAGGGGGCGTGCATTTAAGTGGAGAGGGGGAAAGTTCAAAGGAAATGTAAGGGGCAAGTTCTTTTTTACACAAAGGGTGGTAGTGCCAGGAATGTGCTGCCAGGGCTGGTGATGGAGGCAGTTACAACAGGAGCATTTAAGGGGCTTTTAGATTAGCACATGAACATGCAAGAAATGGAGGGATATGAACCAAGGACAGGCAGAAAGGATTAATTTAACTCAGCATCATGTTCGACACAATATTGTGGGCAGAAGGGCCTGTTCCTGTGCTGTACTGTTCTATATAAAGTACAGAAACAGGCTGTATTGACGATTATCTGGCACACAGTTAGTCTTAACCCTGTGTTCCTACTCTCTTCCTATAATACATCCTCCCTCCTTTCTTCAACTACCTACGTAACAGGTTTCCATGTTTTAACATCTAGCTCATTCTTTTCGCTGATGTGAGTCATTGCTTTCACAATTGATTCCATTTCAATGCATTCCTCGATGATTTCCCACTTATTTCGGCTTACTGGGCTGCCTGCAGCTTTAATGGTAGGTGTCTTTTCCCTATGATGGGGGAGTTCAAGATTAGGGGGCATATTTTTGAGGTGAGAGCAGAAAGATATACAAAACGTCATGAGGGGCAATTTTTTTTTACACAGAGAGTGTTTCATGCGTGAAATGAACTTCTGGAGGAATTGGCGGATGTTTGCAGGGATGTTTGTGGGCCGAGTGCTGGCAGGTGGGAATAGTTTAGTTTGGGATTATGGACGGCACAGACTGGTTGGACCGAGGGGCCTGTTTCCGCGTTGTATGATTCTGACACTATAAAGTCCTACGCAACGTCCTACGCTCCTGTGAAAAACAGCCGTGAAACTATTGAATGTCAGAGCAGGCTCAAAACCGAATCCTGCTTCTCTCTTTTTTTTCTGTATTCACAGGAACTTAGCTATAAGCCTGTCTATTCCAACTCATTTTATTTTAGGGCCTTGTTCACCCGCTGTGCTGTTCTGTCCGTCATGTATGGGACCATCTCAGCTGGAACTGGGCAGAGCAATGCTGAAAGGAATTCAATCCAATCAAGGCTAGAGGGAATGCACTGGGAGGTGAAAGTAAGGCAAGGGATTATATTGTGAATGGTAGGTCTCCAGTATCCATATTCACTGATCCCATTTCCCCTAATTCTGGACTGACCCAAGCGGAAATAGCCTTTCCGTGCCTACCTTGAAAGTCAATAAAATCACACCTCACTCTACAAAACTCCAATGGAAACAAGCCCAATTGATCCATCCTTTCCTCTCAATACAACTCACTCATTCCAGAAATCAATCCTGTAAAGCTCCTCTGAGCAGCCTCCAATCCATTTACATCCTTCCTTAAATAGAGAGATCAAAATGTACGCATTGTCTTCACGATGCAAGTCTAGAATTGCTTCAGTGTTGGCCATTTGGCCCATCGAGTTCACACCGACCCCTCTGAAGAGCATCCCACCCAGACTCAACTCCCTACCTTTTCCCTACAACCCCGCATTACCAATGGCTAATCCACCTAACCTGCACACCCTGGACACTACAGGGCAATTTAGCATGGCCAATCCACCTAACTTGCACATCTTTAGACTGTGTGAGGAAACAGGAGCAACCAAAGGAGACCCATGCAGTCACAGGGAGAATGTGCAAACTCCACACAGACAGTCGCCCGAGGCTGGAATCAAACCTGGGTCCCTGGCGCTGTGAGGCAACAATGCTAACCACTGAGGCACTGTACAGTCTCACAATGCCCTGTATACTGAAGCATAACATCCTTAATTATTTACTCAATTTCACTTGTAATGAAGGCTAGCATCCCATTAGCCCTAATCACTTGCTGTATCTGCATATTTACTTCCTGTGACTTATTAACTGGAACACCTAGATCCTTGTACATATCTGTCATTGGGAAGATGTGAAAAATGTGAAATTGTTGACTTTGGCTGGAAAAATAATAATAAAGCAGGCTATTATTCAGAAGGAAGATTCTGAGGCATGAGACCATAAATCTATTAAAAAGGCTGTGATAACAGAGCATTTAGAAACTCATAAAGTAATAAACCAGAGTTGACATAGTTTCACGAAAGGAAAATTATGCCTGAGAAATTAATAACAACTCTTTAAGGAGGTGACAAGCAGGATAGGGAAAGGGAGAACAAATAGGTGTAAAATATTTGGAAAAGACGTTGGTAAGGTACTCCACATAAGGTTTCTTACTAAGATAAGAACTCATGGTGATCAGGCTAGTGTATTCACAAGGATTGGATAACTTATGGAAGTTTGAGAGTTTGAGTAAAGAGAGCTTTTTCTGGGTGGCAACTTGTACCTAGTGGAATGCCATGGGGATCAGTGATGGGTTGACAATTTACAATCTGTATTAATGACTTTGATGAGGAAAGGGAATGTATTATAGCCAAATTTGCAGACGGCTCAAAAATAGATGGGAAGGCTAACATTGAGGATGACACAAGAAGTCCACAGAGGGATATAAACAGGTTTAAATGAGCAGGCAAAATCTTGGCAGATGGAATATAACGTGGGAAAATGTGAGTTTCTGCACTTTAGCAGGAAGAACAGAAGAGCTGAATATTATTTAAATTGAGAAAGAACACAGAAAGCTACAGCACTGTGGGATTTGTGGGCCAGTCCCAATGCATGAATCAGAAAAATACTAACATCCAAGTTCAGAGAAGGCAAACAAAATGTTGGTCTTTACTTCAAAAGGAATGGAATATTAAAATGGGAAGTTTTTGCCAAGACTGTACAGGGCACTAGTTAGACAACACTGATTGTAGGAACTGCCGATGCTGGAGAATCTGAGATAACAAGGTGTAGAGCTGGCTGAACACAGCAGGCCAAGCAGCATCAGAGGAGCAGGAAAGCTGACGTTTCAGGCCTAGACCCTTCTTTAGAAATGGAGGAGGGGAAGGGGATTCTGAAATAAATAGGGAGAGAGGGGGAGGCGGATAGAAGATGGATAAAGGAGAAGATAGGTAGAGAGGAGACAGACAGGTCAAAGAGGCAGGGGTGGAGCCAGTAAAGGTAAGTGTAGGTGGGGAGTTAGGGAGGGGATAGGTCACTCTAGGGAAAATGGGGGCGGGGTAAGGCTAGTAGGTAGGAGATGGGGGTGCGGCTTGAGGTGGGAGGAGGGGATAGGTGGGAGGAAGAACAGGTTAGGGAGGCGGGGACGAACTGGGCTGGTTTTGGGATGCGGTCGGGGGAGGGGAGAATTTGAAGCTTGTGAAGTCCACATTGATACCATTGGGTTGCAGGGTTCCCAAGCGGAATATGAGGGTTCCTGCAACCTTCGGGTGGCATTGTTGTGGCATTGCAGGAGGCCCAGGATGGACATGTCGTCCAAGGAGTGGGAGGGGGAGTTGAAATGGTTCGTGACTGGGAGGTGCAGTTGTTTATTGCGAACCGAGCATAGCTGTTCCACAAAGCGGTCCCCAAGCCTCCGCTTGGTTTCCCCGATGTAGAGGAGGCCACAACGGGAACAGCGGATACAGTATACCATCTTTTCATCTTCTCCTTTATCCATCTTCTATCCACCTCCCCCTCTCTCCCTATTTATTTCAGAATCCCCTTCCTCTCCCCCATTTCTGAAGAAGGGTCCAGACCCGAAACGTCAGTTTTCCTGTTCCTCTGATGCTGCTTGGCCTGCTTTGTTCATCCAGCTCTACATCTTGTTATCTTAGACAACACTGATGATGTGGTGAGTTTTGGTCCCTTTACATAAGGAGAGATAGACCTGCATTGAAGCAGCCCAGAGAAGGTTCACTAGGCTGATACCAGGGGGCTGACTTTTGAGGAGACCTTGAGTAGCTTGTACCTGCATTTGTTTAAGTTTAGAAGAATAAGAGAAAATCTTATGGAAACATAAAGGATTTTTAGGGAGCTTGTCAAGGTTAATGTGGAAAGGTTGTTTCCCCTTGGGGGAGTATCCAGAGGGTACAATCTCAGAATAAGGGGTCGCCCTTTTAAGACAGAGATGAAGAGGAATTTCTTCTTTCAGAGGTTAGTGAATCTGTAGAATTCTTTACCACAACAGGTCATCGAGTCTTGGTCGTTAAGTAAATTCGAGGCTGAGATAGATCGATTTTTAATCAATAAGTGAGTCAAGGGTTACAGGTTAAAGGCAGGAAAGTGGAGTTGAGGATTATCAGATCAGCCATGATCTCATTGAATGGGCTGAATGGCCTAATTCTGCTTCCAAGTCTTATGGTCTCATGCCTTAGAATTCTCCTTTTGGATAATACCCTGCTTTTTTTATTATTTTTCCTGACAAAGTGAACAATTTCACATTTTCCATATTGTTGCCAAATTCTCGTCAACTCACTTCATCCAACTTTATCAAAAAACTACTCCTTTCACCCTCACACGCTCATCTGTCTTTGATGTTATTCAACTCAACTACTCCTTTTGGTTCCAGTTCCCACACTCGAATCATTCTCAGGATGGAGAGATTTCTCCTGAGTTCCCTATCTGTGACTCATAATCTCATAATTATGGCACCTAAATATAGTCTCCCCTACAGATGAAACCATCTCTATGCCAGTCCTGTCAAAGACTTCCACCTCTAGGCCACTCACCCACCCTGACTTGGAAACATATCGCTGTTCTTTCACTGTTACTGGGTCAAAATCCTGGAATTCCCTCCCTAAGGGCATTGTGGAAAGACCCTGAGAACATGGACTGCAGCGGTTCAAGAAGGCAGCTCACCACCACCTTCTCAAAGTCAACTAGGGACAGGCAAGAAATGCTGGCCAGCCAGAGATGCCCACTTCCCATGAATGAATATTAAACTAAAGTCTTTCATGATCTTAAACACCTCTTCAGCTTCAGAACTCTATGACAGTTCTGAGGAAGGGTCACCGGATCCAAAACATTAACTCTGATTTTCTCTTCACAGATGCTGCCAGACCTGCTGAGCTTATGCAGCAGCTTCTGTTTTTGTTCCTGATTTACAGCATCGGCTTTTTTTAACCTCTTCAGCTTTCTCTTCTCTCGAGAAATGAACACATTTCCAGACAGCAATGACTTCTCAGGAGATCTCATGGCACAATGGGTAATGTTCGTACCTTTGAGCCTGACCTTCCAGTTCGAAAATCAAAATCAGAAATCGCTGGAGAAACTCAGCAGATCTGTTGGCATCTGTGGAGAGAAATCCCAAGTTAACATTTCCAGTCTCAGTGACCCTTCTTCAGAATGCCTCCAAATTCTATCCCACTTCAGGTTTCTCTGCCAAACAGATTAAACACGTCAATGGCGGTTGTCACTGTTGATAGCTTTAGGCTACAACATGCATGTAAAAGTGTATGTTGCCATTGCAACCTATGGGGTTGGTTGGCAGGCCAGCTAGGTTGTTATTGACAAGCTCCCTAAAAATCCTTTATGTTTCAATAAGCTTTTCTCTTATTCCTCTAAACTTCAACAAATGCAGGTACAAGCTATTCAACCTCTCTTCAAAAGTTAGTTCCCCCCAGTATCAGCCTACTGAACCTTCTCTGGGCTGCTTCAATGCAGGTCTATCTTTCCTTAGATAAAGGGACCAAAACTCATCACATCATCAGTGTTGTCTAACTTGTGTCTTGTACAGTCTTGGTAAAACCTTCCCATTTTAATATTCCATTCCTTTTGAAGTAAAGGCCAACATTTTGTTTGCCTTCTCTGTACTTGGATGTTAGTATTTTTCTGATACATGCGTTGCGACCGACCCCCAAATCCCACTGTGCTGTAGCTTTCTGTGTTCTTTCTCAATTTAAATAAATTGAGGTGAGGTTTAATCACTGGGCTGGGATTCAGAACCTTCTCCACACACTGTGGTGGAGATCAGACCTGCTGTTGGGCAGCAAACTGCTTTTATCTGGTTGGTTGCTTCCTTCTTTAAAGTTCTGTAGATACTGGAGATTGGAAATAAAACCACAAACACAGACTGGTCTGGCAGCGGAGATAGAAACACAGTTAACGAGAACTCATGTGATGAAATGTGCCTTTAAAAGGGATTTGTCTGCCCTGTTTCTTTTGAAGAGAGGTCATAGAGTCATACAGCACAGAAACAAACCCTTTGGTCCAACCAGTCCATGCTGACCAGGTCTCCCAAAATAGATCTAGTCCCATTTACCTGCATTTTGGCCCATATTCCTCTAAACCTTTCTTATTCATGTTCCTGTCCAAACGTCTTTTAAATGTTATAACTGTACCTGCATCTACTGCCTCCTCTGGCAGCTCATTCCAAACACACACCACCCTCTGCATGAAAAAGTTGCCCCTTAGGTCCCTTTTAGATGTTTCCCCTCTCACCTTAAACGTATACCCTCTAGTTTTGGACTCCTGTACCCTGGGGAAAAATCCTTGACTATTCACCATATCCATGCCCCTCATGATTTTATAAACTTCTATAATGTCACCTCTCAACCTCCTAAGCTCAAGGAAAAATAGTCCCAGCCTCTCCTTATAACTCGAACCCTCCAGTCCCTTAAGACTTTCCAAAGAACTTTTTCCAAAAGTTCTATCATTTCCTTAATAATTGATTTGTGTTGTAAACCTGGTACCAACGTGTTAGCTCCATGGAAAGCAGGGTAAATAGTCTTGGGTTTTTTCAAAAATTAAACAAAAGAGGTATAAGTGGTGAAGTCAGCTTCACACAGACCCAGGATTTTAGTTTTTGCTTTAAGTTGTTGAGGTTTTGGAGTTAAAGCTGCTAGATACAGCTCTCTCTCTCTGCTGCTGTAAAAGCTTGAGTTCTCTTTCTGCTGCTAGATTCCTTCTGTCAATGTTCCTTCTCCTGGACAGGAGGAGATAGCAAGTGAGGGAAATCTGTTTTGCTGAATTTGCCTTTGCCAAGGGCATGTTTATGGGATGCTGCTATATTGCAGCAGCTGATGAGTAATAGTTAAACAGTTTATTATTTTGCTTAGGAAATAGTAGGAATTGCCGATGCTGGAGAATCTGAGATAACAAGGTGTAGAGCTGGATGAACACAGCAGGCCAAGCAGCATCAGAGGAGCAAGAAAGCTGATGTTTCGGGTCTAGA